TTTTAAACCAAGAACTGGATCAGTCATTTAGTGCTTCAGTCAGGGAGGGAAGGTTGACCAATGTTTTTCAAATCCGCTTATGCTTAACTGCATTTTCAGAGATTACTGAAACTCACAGTAATCACCTGCACAGTTAAGGATGTGCATTCAAACTGCCATCACAAAATGGATGCTAATCTCTCTTTATTCAGTGCTTTGCTGACCAAGGTATCACCTGTTAGTTCACAACACAAACCACAATCAGTTTTGATAGTTTTCAGGTAAATCCATAACCAAAATCAGGCATTTTGTGGATTTTTTTTAAAAAAAATCTTTTTGGTAACTATAGCCACTCTGAGTGAAGAAAAGAAACCTAAAAAACAGACAGGCTGTTTTGGACTTCAGCTCAGTGTTTAAATTGGAAAGTCTAGAAAAAAATATGCACAAAATAATAGGTTGAAGAAATGAAACGGTTGTTACCTTTGCAAGCTTGAGGTGCAGAAGGGCATTTTCTGTTTCCAGCACAATTATTCTTTCTTCTTTTGTCTGACAAAACACAGTTCAGAGGGACCTGAACTTAAACAAGTACAATCAGCGAGGCAACAAGCCAAAGTAGCTTATTATAATCAGTGGTAGGTTGCTAGCTGGTTTACTACCAATTTGCTCATGCACATGCACATGCGCAGAAGCATCCGGGCAGGAGCCTCCCGCTGCCATTACTACTGGTTCGGTCGAACTGGGCCTAACCGGGAGCAACCCACCTCTGATAATAATCCTTCTTCAGCAATTGTATCATTCAGCCTTTCATATCTTAAATCCCACCAATCACTCCATCAAAGAAGCCGGGTCTCATAATGATAGAAACCTTAAAGCCTATGTTTTCTAGAGATAGCAATGCATTTATATGCATTTTGTTATTGTGCTCATCTCCCACTGGATCTTTGAACTAATTATTTAAAATTTCAAATGTTTGAAACCCACCTGCCTTTGGAGTCCCATTTGTTTTAGGCATATCACAGTTTGGGTCTACAGCCCCCATTAGTATTTGCCCACGCTTGCTCTGAATGATAAGGGTTTATTTATTTATCAAATTTATATGTAACTGCCATCTCATGATAGATGACTTTGGGCAATGTGCAACAAAGCTAAAAACAGATAGTTAATAAATACTAAATCATTATTTAAATAAGTTTTTTTAATATATAAAAAATAAAAAAGAAGGAATATTGTGCGAAGAGATGTTAATAATTCCGTGTAAAGTAATGCAACTGAAGGATACTAGTGGAGGAGTCTGAAAACTGAGATGAGATCATCACATCATCACAGCTTTCCTAGCTTTAACTCCTGATCCCAAATATCTAAAGACACCTTATGTCACACTTCCTCCTCTCAAGGCTTAGAAGATCCGCTTTGGTAGCTAACCATTGATGGATGTTATCATCAAGTTGGTGTAGATTGTTAGTAACTACCTAGATGGGTAGATTTGCTGCACGGTGATACCGATTTACATCATCTCAACACTCACTCGCAGCTTCCGTTCCAGCTGCCGAATTTGTTGCTCCGACACAAAACTGCGGCTAACCGCGCTGCCGGGCTTCCTCGTTTGGGGCCGGACCATCTCAGATAGTCAATGCCGAAGGAGCACTTCCCCGTTCCTTCTTCCACTTTCAAGAAAGGGGTTTGAACCATCCAATCACAAGCCACGACTAAGCTTCTCGGGGGTTGCCATAGCTACCCGCCGGGCTTTCTGCAGAGGAGCGCGCCGGCATAAGCGGATCGTCGAAAGCGATCGCTTTGCGAAGCCCGGCGCGTGCCTTTTTGGGAGCGATGATGATGGGGAGGCTTTTTGCTAGGAAGAATGGTTGGGGCACCACCGGTCTTGAAGAAGCCCCTCCAAATGCCCTGGCCTAGACGATGCAGTATTCGCTTTCAAATAAATAAAGAATATTTTTCATGAGGCTTGTTTTCCCCGTGCTTAAAGGATAAGTTGCTGAATACTGTGAGAAAACAGGTCAGAGACACGAAACAATCAGGTCTGATGTACCCCAATATTCCCTGGCCTCTTTGCATTCGTTTCTCCGGCTATTGGAAACAGAANTTATTTTAACAATTCTTCCTACTACTTGTTATTAATTCACACTAAAAGAAATCTAAAGAACTTTGTTCCCTATAAACCAGAGATAAATATTAGAAGGTGAAAATTAACACTTCCACTCGGAGGTCAGAGGCTGGGGTTTTTGAAACAACGTATCTCTTTTCTTTCCTTATTTGACTTCACTAACTTTGTAGCGGAAGGATTTGCAACTTGTTTACAGAAACTGATAAAGAACCAAGAGCACAAATTGTTTTCACAGGTGCCTCTGCGAATTATTTTGGCAGGGGAAAGAAAGAAAGGGGAGGAAAAAACCAGAACCCTTCTTCTTTGAAGAGCATAGAAGAACTTGTGTTCAAGTCAATCTAAAATAAAAAATAAAAGAGCCCTGGAAGGCTAGAGTGGCAGTTGCTATTAATTTTTTTCTCTTTCTTTCTTTCTTTCTTTCTTTCTTTCTTTCTTTCTTTCTTTCTTTCTTTCTTTCTTTCTTTGTTTTGGAAACATGGATCAATACCCAGATGTGGAAACCTTAAAATTCCAAAATATCTTGGCTGTAATTCAAAATCTATTGGAAGGATCTGGGAGAATTGAGGAGAAGTTGGAAAGACTCACAGCAAAAGATGATGGGGTTGGAGTCCCCAAAATTAAAGGGGAGAATGAAGATGTAGAAGATAAAGATAAGACAATAGATGGATTTATTAATGGAGCAAATATAGGTGAAAGTGGAAAGAAGGGAATATGGAAAAGGGAATTAGACGAATTGGAGCTCTACCCCAGATTCCAGGACACAGAAGAAGAAAAAATACTAATGATGATAGACATAAGAAGAGAAATTTTTTCAGAAGCAAGATTGACAACCAAAGACAAGCTAATTTTAATTGCAACTGGTGGACAATGAGATTATCTGAGAGACCCTTCAAGCAACAAAGTGCGGAGAGAAGTCTATAAAAACCTTATAAAGGAGATAAAAAGAAGATTGACACCACAATTGGCAAGAGAGATAAGACTGTTTTGTTATTGGAAAGATAGAGGTTGACAATGAAAGTTGATAATAAAAAAATAGTTGATTTTGGTGATTAATAAGTAGGAATTTTGTAACTTTTAGATTGCTATCAAATGTTTACTCACTAACAATTAATTAACCATAATAATAATAATGAAATGATAATGGATACAGCTTAATGATATATACATGTATTGGTAATCTAGCAAAA